ATGCACAGCCGCTACGAGAGAGCAGAGGACGGCGGTCAGGGGCGCAGCGCCAGGCGGTCCGCTCCCCCCCACCCCGAGGTGGGCCCCTGCAGCCCACACTCCTCCTCCACAGACCCTGCCCTGCAAGGTCACTGGGGGACACGTGGAAGGCACCGAGCTGGGCGCTGGCACAAGACGGGGACTCAGCAGGTATGAGTCACTGTGTCTTCCCCAGACGGTCAGTGCCACAAGGACGGGCCACGTGCCTTCTTCACATCCCAGGGCCAGGCACAGAGAAGGTGCAGAGGAGTCGGCTTTAGATTAGGCAATTCATATTTTCCAGACACACACCTGAAGGGCTGGCACATGTCCCGTTTAGCGTATGAAGTGCCCCAGCGACACGGCGCTCGGGGTCTATGGGGGCGTCGGGACGAGGTGGGAAGGGGGGCGGGGCTGTGTTGGGGCACAAATGGGGAGCCTCGCACGTGCTAAGATTTTATCATCGGAAATTAACCGCTGCACGAGCTTGTGGACGCATGCACACTCCAAGTGGACTGTTTATTTTACACCGATGCTGGGAATTGACTTCAAAACAGTCACAGGTGGGCAGGGCTCCCAGGCACCCGCGAGAACAATGAAGCAAACCTTCCCTCGCAGCAACGTGGATGCAGCTGGAGATTATCAGAGCAAGTGAAGTACGTCAGGCAGAGACAGCAACTGTCAGATCTGGCAAATAAGCCCGGTAAGAACGCAGCACACAAAATCAGCACACAGACAGCAGCAGCGCTCCTGCACACCAGCAGGGAGCGCTCCAGGAGGGGCGCTGAGAGGACAGCCCTCCTGGGGCTGCAGGAGGACGAGCAAAGCCTCAGGAGCACGTCGGACCCGGGGAGGGGGGGCCAAAGACCCGCCGACGAGACCGCACAACACTGCTGCACAAGACTGAAGAAACAAGCCTACGAAACACTTCTGAACGAAAACACGCCCGCTGCAAAACACCGCTGAGAAAGTTAAAGAAGACCTTAGAAAGCAGCACAGGGACGACATCCTGCGTCCACGGATCAGGAGACTTGTTAACACGTCACAAAATGACGCACAGGTTCAGCGCACTCCCTGTCCAAACTCCAGCCAGGGGTGCTGTTTTGCAGAACTAGAAAAAGCTGTCCTAAAATTCACATGGGATCTTAAGGAGCCTCCAATAGCCAAACAGTCCTGAAAAAGAACCAAACTGGGAGTCCTTACACGTCCCTCCACAACCGCAGCGCTTCAAACACCGTGGCACTGGTGCCGGCTCAGACACACAGGCTAGTAGGCAGAATGTAAGCCTCTGGGACAAGCCCTTCCACACACGGGCCAGCTGACTTGGCAAAGGGGCCAAGACCACTCAATGGACAAAGGACCAACCTTCCAACAAAAGCTGGTGCTCGGGGAAACCGGCTGTCCGCGTGCGAGGGTAAGGTCGGGCTCTGACCTTACACCGATGGGGAAGTAAGCTCAAATGGATCAAGGACCTAAAGCCAGCAGCTAAAACTATAAAACTCGTAGAAGGAAACAGAGGAGGCAGTTCACGGCGGCGGACGTGGCGATGATGCAGCCCAGGTGAGGGCGCCCGGATGGGCCGGGCCCCGTGAGCGGCACACTTCTGTGCACACAGGGCGCCGCCAGAAGACGAAAAGATGACCAACAAAACGGGTGAAAGCATTGCCCCAAAACGGTAAGGGTTACTATCCAGAATATATAAAGAACACCTACAACGCAGCAAACAACCTAATTCAAAAATGGGCAAACACTTAAAAAGACATTTCAGAGGACTTGAGAAGAAGACACAGGCCGACCTCGGAGACCTCGCGGCTGGGCTCCAGACCGCCACCATAAGCAAATATCCCAGTGAAGCAAGTCGCACGAAGTTTTTGGTTTCCCAGTGCATTTAAAATCACGTTTACACTCTAGCCTACTGTGCGTGCAACATCATCATGCCTTAAAATGCAGCGTACACGTTTTAATTAAAATACACTTCACTGCTAAAAGTGCCAACCATCATCTGCGCCTTCGGCG